AATACATACAGATGGCGAACAGACACATGAAAAGATGTTCAACATCACTAATCTTCAGTGAAATTCAAACCCAAACTACAGTGAGATATCACCTCATACCTGTCAGAATGGTGAGTATCAAAGACAAGAAATAACAAGGTCAGCAAAGATGTAGAAAAAAGGGAAAACTTGGGTACTGTTGGTGGGAATGCAAAATGGTGTAGCTGCAATGGATAGTCTGGAGGTTCCCCCCAAAATTAAAAATAGAAATACCATACAATCCAGCAATTGCACAGCTGGGTATTACTGGAAGAAAACAAAAGCACTAACTAGAAAAAATATATGAATCCCCTTGTTCACTGCAACATTACTTACAACAGCAGAGATATGGAAACAACTTAAGGGTCTATCAATAGATGAATGGATAAAGAATATATGGTATAAAAATATACAATGGAATACTATTCAGCCATTTAAAAAAATGAAACCTTGTCATTTGGGACAACATGGATGGACCCAGAGGGTATTATGCTAAGTGAAGTTGAGTCAGACAGAGAAAGACAACTATCAAATGATTTCACTTATATGGGGAGCCTAAAAACAAAACAAAAAGAAAACAGAAACAGACTCATAGATACAGACAATAATCTTGTGGTGCCACAGGGGAAATGGGCAAAATAAGGAAAGGAGATAAAAGGCACAAACTTCTCAGTTATAAAATAAATAAGATGGGAATGCAATGTACACTATAGGAAATATAAGTGATAATAATGTAACAACTTCGTATGGTGACAGATGGTAGCTAGACTTATAATGGTGATCACTTCCTAATGTATATAAATGTTGAATCACTATGTACACCTGAGAATAATATTGTAGGACAACTGTACTTCAATTAAAAAAATGAATTCATTATCAAAGAAAACTACAAGCCCAATGGTTTCACTGGTAAATTCTATCAACATTCAAGGAAGGAAAAACAGTACTCATATACAAATTTTGGGGTGTTTTAGAAAGTAGAGAACACTTCTCAACACATTTTATGAGGTCAACATAAGCCTAACACCAAAACCTGAAAACAAAACTACAAATAAGCTATGAGGCTGAAAAATTTAAAACACACTTCAAAATAAATGTGAGACAACAAAAGCATATAAAAACCTACAGGGTATGACAAAAGTGTTACTCATATATGAGTTATCTCAAGACTTCAAGGATGGTGCGACATTTGACGATGTGTCATTATAATTCACTACATTAACAGAAGAACATAGAGAAATTATGTGATCATCTTAATAAATAGCAGAAAAGCATGTGATATTCACCATTTAAAATTAAGACAAAAATTCTTGACAAACCAAAACTAGAAGAGAACTTTTTAAACTCATAAAGTATACCTACCAGAAAATTATAGTAAATATTAAACTTGATGGTAAAACCTTAGAAATACACAGAATAATAAAGTAGAATTATACAAACTAACATGGGGAGACTCCAAAATATATTTCTGAATAAAAGAAGTTGCAGATATTTACAGTAGTTTAAAACACTCACACATATTTCTACGATTTTCTGTAGGAATATACACAGGTATATAAATACATAAAACTAAGATTTGCAGAAAACACATCAGCCTGATAACTTCTGAGACCAGGTGAGGACCAGGACTGGAGTAAGTACAAGTCCCAGGGTGTGGTTAAAGGAGATTTTAGTCTTATCTTCCATGTTTCTATTTATTACCAGGAGAATGTTGTTTTTTATGAATAGCTTAGGTAACTAAAAAGTAATTTTAATACCATAAATTTAAATTTAACATAGTACTGGAAGTCCTAGCCAAAGCAATTAGAAAGGAAACAAATAAAGACATCCACATTGAAAAAGAAGTAAAACTGTCACTATCTGCACATTACATGATATTATGTACAGATAATACATCTAGAAAACCCTAAAGACTCTACCAAAAAACTGTTGGAACTAATGAACAAATTCAGTAATGTTACAGGGTAAAAAATCAGTATACAAAATCTGTGGTTCTATACCCTAATGATGAACTATCAGAAAGAGAAATTAAGAAAACAATCTCCTTTACAATTGCATCAAAAAGAATAAAATACAGGGGCACCTGGGTAGCTTAGTCGGTTAAGTGTAGGACTCTTGATTTTGGCTCAGGTCATAATCTCTGGGTCATGAGATGGAGTGCCACATTGGGCTCCACACTGGTGGTCATAGAGCCTGCTTAAGATTTTCTCCCCCCACCCCCCCAAAAAAAGATTCTCTCTCTCTCCTTCCCTCCACCCCACCCCCACCTTCCCCAGGCGGGGGGGGGGGTGGAGAATAAAATACACAGAAATAAATTTAACCCAGGTGGTGAAAGACCTGTACCCTGAAAACTGTAAGACATTAACGAAAGAAAGTGAAGAAGACCCAAATAAATGGAAAGATATTCCATGTTCATGGACTGGAAGAACTAATACTGTTAAAATGTCCATACTACTCAAAGCAATCCAAAGATTCAGTGCAACTCCTTTCGAAATTTCAATGGTATTTTTCACAGAACTAGAACAAGTAATCCTAAAATTCATATAGAACCACAAAAGACCCCAAACAGCCAAAGCAATCTTCACAAAGATGAGCAAATCTAGAGGGATCATGCTTCCTGATTTCGAAGTATATTATAAAGCTCTAGTAACCAAATAGTATAGCGTTAGCATATAAACAGACAGATAAATGGAAGAGAATACAGAGTCCAGAAATAAACCTGTATTTACATGGTCAAATAATTTATGACAAAGGAGCCAAGAATATACAATGGGGAAAAGATGGTCTCTTCAACAAATAGTGGTGGAAAAAGCGGGTAGCCTCAAGCAAAAGAATGAAACTGGCCTACTATCTTACACCATACACAAAAATGAACTCAAAATGGATTGAAGACTTGAATTTAAGGCCTGAAACCATAAAACAAACTCCTAGGCGATGAGGAAAATACAGGTGGTAAGCTCCTGGACATCAGTCTTCACAATAACGGTTTTATTTCATCTAACACCAAAAGTAAAAATAAATAGTGGGACTACATCAAAGTAAAAAGCTTCTGCACAGCAAAGGAAACCAACAACAAAATGAAAAGGCAACCTATGGAATGGGAGAAAATTTCTGCAAATCATGTATCTGATAAGGGGTTAATATCCAAAATATATAAAGAAATCCTACAACTCAACAGAAAAAACAAAACAAAACAACACAATCCAATTTAAAAAATTGGCAGAAGACCCAAGAAGACATTTTTTCCAAAGAAGATATACATATGGCCAACAGACACATGAAAAGATGCTCAACATCACTAACCTTCAGGAAAACTGAAATCAAAGCCACAATGAAGTATCACCTCACACCTGTTAGAATGGCTATTCTGAAAAAGACAAGAAATAACAAGAGTTGGCAAAAAATTAAAAATAGGGATATCTGGGTGGCTCAGTCAGTTAAGCATCTGTCTTCAGCTCAGGTCGTTATCCCAGGGTGCTGGGATGGAGTTCGGCAGTAGTCTCCTTGCTCAGCAGGGAGTCTGCTTTCCCCTCTGCCTTTCACTCCCCCTGCTTGCGTGCTCTCTTGCTCTCTCACTCTCTGACAAATAAATAAATAAAATCTTCTAAAAAAATTAAAAACAGACCTACTATATGATCCAGGAATTCTACAGCTGGGTATTTATCCAAAGAAAATGAGAACACTTACTAGAAAAGATATATGCACCCCTATGTTCACTGCAACACTATTTACAACAGGCACAACATGGAAACCACTGAAGTGTCCATCAATGGATGAATGGATAAAGAAATCATGGTGTGTATATATGTATACACACACACACACACACACATATAGACACATACAAGGGAATATTACTCAGTCATTAAAAAGGAAACCTTGCCATTTGAGACAACAAAGATGAACCCTGAGGGTATCATGCTAAGGGAAAGAAGACAGAGAAAGGCAAATACCGTATGATTTCATTTATATGTGGAATCTAAAAAACAAAACAAAATAAAACAAGCTCATAGAGAACAGATTGATGGTTGCCAAAGGCTGCCAGGGGCTGGAGGGTAGGGGTTGATTATAAGATAAGTAAGATCTGGGGATGTAATGTATAGTGTGGTGACTATAGGTAACAATACTGTATATATGAAAGTTGCTAAAAGAGTAGATCTTAGAAGTCCTCATCACAAGAAAAAAAAAATGTAACTATGTATGGTGACCAATGTTAAATAGATTCATTGTGGTGATCATTCTGCAATATATACAAATATAGAATCATTATGTTGCACATGTAAAACTAATATAAGTCATTATACATCAATCAATAATAAATAGGGTCTACGCAAAGTGGTCCCTTGTACTGGATGGACAACAAAGATGATTACACTACATGATAAAAATTTTAAAAACACTGGAAATATATATAAAAACTTTTTTTAAAGTATATTATTATAGGTAAATATTTTACTAGTTCTTTTGTGCCTTTTAAGTTTAGAGACCATAAAATCACTTTCTTTGAATGCCATTTATTAATACATCCTGGGACTGATTTGACCCCATTTAGCATATCAGGTAAATCTGCAGGATGCCAATTGTTTACCAACATCCTGTATTATATTAGAGTGAAATAGAGACTTTGGCAGATATTCTTTCTCTCCTTGTATTCCTTTTTGGAATTGAACAAATTAGTCCTAAAGCCACCTGCCTTTACCTGAATTTTCACTAGGTCCCACCTGTTTTCTTTAGACTTTTGGTTAGGATTTCACCTTCACTCTCAGGAAAAGAAGCGGAGAGCAGTCTCCGGCCTGAGGAAATGGCACCAACACATTTCTTAATAAACACTTAGGGATGTGAAGATACTTGCAAGGTTCTTGTAGTGTGCATCCACTGGAACTAAGCGGGGTCTAAACTTGTCCTAAGCGGGTGTGGGTGTAAATACACGAGCGAATGGAGAAAGTAAAGGGGAAGACAGGGCTTCCCCCAGCTCTACGCACCTCTGATTCAGCCAGCTGGGGTCAAAAGGGAGCAGCACGGACGCCGCCGGCAACAGGCTCCAGGGGAGTACCAGGGCCCCGGAGCACCGAACTGAAGGCGGAGAGCGAGGAGGGGCGGGACGGCGTGGCCTCCGCTCCTCCCCGGGCCGGGGCGGGCCCGAGACCGCGACCCACCTCTCCCGCGCTGCCTTCGTCACAGCGCCGCGGGACAGCCATGCCCGGCCGCCTGCTGCGGGGCCTGTGGCAGCGATGGCGCCGTTACAAGTACCGCTTCGTTCCTTGGATCGCGCTGAACCTAAACCACAACCCGAGGTGAGAGGGCGAGACCGGCAGAGCAGGGCCACCTTCTTTCAGCCCCACGACGCCACCCGGGCCGCTGGATCGGAGGCGAGAGGGCCCTCGGTGGGCGGAGCCTCCGGCGAGCGGAGCTTCAAGCGGACCGAGCTTCAGGCGGGCGGAGCTTCTGGCGGCCCGGGGGCCCGAGGCGGGCGGGCCCGCGGTGGGTGGAACCCGAAGGGGGCGGGGCCCGAAGTGGGCGAGGCCGAGGTTGGTGGAGTCCGAAGAGAGCTGGGATACTGACGAGGGCGGGGGGCCTTAGGAGGGTGGGGCCTGTGGCCTAATCTCCCATGGTACCCCGCGCTGCCAGACTTGCGAGGCGGGCGTTGCCCGCGGGCGGAGGCGCGTGTTCTCTTTTGGAAGTCGGTGCTGACCCGGGCTTCTGTCCCGGCAAAAAAGAAGAGGCTTTTGAAAAAGAACAAAGCTCTTAGGGCGTGAGAGTGCGTGGTCTTCTCTCCGCTAGGGCATAGTTAGGAGCTTGAAATTACTTAGAGAAGCCAAACCGAGGTTTATCTGGTGAAAGCAGCCCAGCCTGGCTGTGAGGATAGCAGCTTGGACTGACGCATAAAAAGGAGCAAAATGCCACTGAAAGCACGTGGGCGTGTTGGGTTTAGAATAGTCTTTGCCTGAAGACCGGGATCTAGCTGCGTGGGTGGCCGGGGAGTCAGTGTCGTTGCCGGCTCTAGTAAGTGGCGTGCTAGTGATCTGGAAGAAGTTCACGTAATGCTCGCTGAAATGGGCACACTAGCGCCACTGAAAGCCAGTTAATAACCAGAGAGCTTTTCCAAAGTTTCATTCGGCGGAAAAATGAACTCAGGGCCATCCTTACTATAGAATTGTGAGGCGGGAATTGCTTTCTTCTTGTTAAGAATTAAAAAAATACCATTATGCAAATAAAAATGATGCAGCCATTAAAGAAGTAGGTACTCCCTGGAGAGAATGTGACAAAGTGTATAATGTTAAATTTGTCTTTGAAATTACACACCTATAAAAAGAGCCATTCCAATGTGAGGATTCTTACGTGATGTTCACATAATGGCTCTGTATGTAGTGGGAAAATACTAGCTCTGTTTCAAACGGCTTATGGCTCTCCCACTTAACAGCTTTAGGATGTTGGGCAAGCTCCCCAACATCTCCAAGCCTCAGTTTCCCTGTCTGCAAAAAGGAGATAGTGAATGTAAGGACCCAACAGCATTTGGTACACTTAGAGCTTTCACAAATGTTGGCTATTGTTAACATGGGTAGGTATTGTCCGGAGTTAGGTCACTAGAACTACCCCCAAACAACTCTTTTCTGAACGTCTTAGTTTCATCGTATTCAGACACGGGAGAATAATCATCATTAAGGCCAGTGACTCAGAAGGCATGAAGCCTGGCTTTTGTCAGTTGAAGGGTAGTGAACAGAAACTTTTCCTGTTTTCAGGACCCTCCGATATGTTCCAGAGGAATCCAAAGACAAAGTTATCTCAGATGAAGATGTCCTAGGAACATTACTGAAAGTTTTCCAGGCTCTATTCATAAATGATTTCAATAAGCAATCAGATATCTTGACTATGCTTCCAGAAACTGTTAAATCAAAATATCACGACCTACTGTCAGTTCAACATCCAAGGGTGAAACCGCTTGAATACAGACATGAACAGCAAAATACCTTTAAACCAGAAGAAATTCTTTATAAGACATTGGGTTTCAGTGTTGCCCAAGCAACTAGCTCATTGATTTCTGCGGGAAAAGGTGTCTTCGTTACCAGAGGATTGGTACCAAAAGGCGCGGTTGTATCTATGTATCCTGGTAATGGCACAGTTAGTGCTTTGCCAAGAGTTTCCTATTTATCGACTAATATAAGTTCAAGTAAATACATGGTCCTGTAATCCTTCGAGTAAGGGGTTGAATTGGAAACTCAGATTTCCACAGATTTTTAAATCCTGATTTGGAAATTAACCATAAATTATTTTATGTGTTAGAAAGCATCCTTGAGTATTTGTTGGGATAAATGCACTTTTCTTTTAAGGAAATTTTTGTAGTTAATGTTTAAATGTGGGCTATAGTATGGCCTACTTTGATAAGATTAATTACTTGGAAAGCACTAGAGAATAAGTCAGTTGGCTTACATAATTGGTAACTAAAGGTAAAAATAGTATGGGTTAAAACAGGAAAGACAGAATTTAAACCCATAAATCACTGGACAAAGACCTTCCTGCCATTTCTACACTTTGAAAGTAAAGCAGCTTCTTTGCAAAAAGGTCATTGACTAGAATGTTCAGGAGAATATGTTATTTGTTAAACTAATGATATTATTTGGTGTAGTACAAAAATGTGTGAATGTTTAAGTCAGACCTATATTTTCAAAAAGTCATTCTGCTATTTTCTAATTTTACATCCTTAAGCAAGAAAGTTGGTTTTCTCCTACACAACTAACCTAACTCTGTAAAGACTAAATAGAACAAGCCAGCAACAAATGAATACTGAAACAAATTTCATAAAATAGCATGCCTGGAACATAGGACAGGCCCAGCAAATATTTATTTTGTCCTTTAGTCCATTGCCAGTGAAAGGAGAAACAACCTGAATGTCAGACTCATTTATTCCCATTCTGTCTGCATTATTTTATCGGTTATTAACAAAATACATTTCTTAAAAGGCTTTTTAATAGATGTCAAATCACAGCCTACTTTAAAAAGCAAAACCAAAACAAAACAAAAAAACCCCGCAACTTTGTAAAACTGAACCTCAAATGTGGTGTTCACATTTTAATTAACCAAGATAGTCACATTTTATTTTGCTGTGTGAACAAGTTGGTCCTCCGCTCCTTACTATTGAGCACTCTTCAAAGGAGGAAAGTAGCCAAAGAGAATGTGATAATCTAGACTGGAGGTGAAATATTAGAAAAAAGGTAGAGAAATTAAATTTCTTTCATGTTATATATATGTTCCAGAGAAAGGTCCTTATGATGTTTATGATTTTTACATGTTGCTGTGTCTTTATCTTATTGTATAATAGGTACAGTATATCAGAAGTATGAGCCAATCTTTTTCCAATCCATTGGAAATCCATTTATTTTTAGATGCTTGGATGGGGTACTCATTGATGGAAATGACAAAGGAATATCAAAAGTTGTATACAGGTAAGTTAGTGCCCATGTTCAAATTTAATAGAGGACCACAGCAAAATGTTTATGACCACTAGCCTTTTTATTTTCAATAAAAATCTGTTTAAGCAGTTGCTAAGTAGCCACTCAGTTGCCCTATTGACTAGATAAAACTTCTTTAAGAAAAAAAAACTTTTTTAAAGAGAAACTGGACTTGTCAGTTCTAGGGTTAATTTTGTACTCTTGGATTTTATTGTAAGATATAAAAGAATAATCCCTTAGCTAATTCTTTCACCTGTTTCAGATCTTGCAATGGAAGGGATCGACTTGGTCCTTTCAAAATGAGTGATAGTACATGGCTAACATCAGAAATTTGTAATCCACTGGCTGTAGGACAGTATGTCAACAATTGTTCAAATGGTAAGTTGGCATCATGGGTCTGTGAAACAAGATATAAATACAACAGTGGTAATTTTCCTCTTTTGCCCTATGACTGAGTGCGAGAGGCAGTTAAATTTAACATCTCAGCTATTCAAAGCCCATAAGTAAACTATAACATTGTGGGAGCAGATATCAAAGAACCTGGGGAAGTAGTGATACACATTAGTTGAATAACTTAGTGTTTTTCTTCTGGTTTTGCAATAAATATAGGCAATTGATAACTGCTCTTCTGATCATCATTATTTTAGCATTTTTTTTTTTTAAAGATTTTATTTATTTATTTGACAGAGAGACAGCGAGAGAGGGAACACAAGCAGGGGGAGTGGGAGAAGGAGAAGCAGGCTTCCCACCGAGCAGGGAGCCCGATGCGGGGCTCGATCCCAGGACCCTGGGATCATGACCTGAGCCGAAAGCAGCCGCTTAACCGACTGAGCCACCCAGGTGCCCCTATTTTAGCATTTTTTAAATAGTTAACTTAGAAACCATTCTGTCAGTGCCTCGGTAGAGCCTAATAGGTTAAACTAGGCTGGTATCCCCTTTCTGTTGCTGTGTGCCTGAGTCACTTACCTTCCCATAGGGCTTGACTTGCCCAAAAGTTTAAATTTGATCTGGCTACATTTAGCATAGGTTTTGGTGTTAGGGAGTTGTGAACTTGAAACCTGACTCTTCTACTTAACCTTTAACCTTTCTGAGCCTCTGTTAATAATAGGGGCACCTGGGTGGTCAGTCCGTTGAGCATCCGACTCCTGATTTCAGCTCAGGTCATGATCTCAGGGTTGTGATATCGAGCCCCAAGTCGAACCCTGAGCTGGGCTCTGAGCTAGGCAGGCAGTCCGCTTGAGATTCTCTCCCTCTGCCCCTCCCCCCACTCACACATGTGCGCTCTCTAAAATAAATTTTTCAAAAAGTAAATAATAAAATACATATATTATATATATATAATCTAGTAATGCCTGGAACATAATAGTGATTATTTGAGCATGTTCTTCTAATTTAGAAAACTACACATCAAGTGACGTAATTCAGTACTGTTTTCCACGACCTTATAAAATGACTGTTACTAAAAATTATATACTTATTCCTAGACAGAGCAGCTAATGTCTGCTATCAGGAATTTGACGTGCCTGCAATTTTTCCTGTAGAGCTGAAGCAATATCTTCCGAACATTGCATACAGCTGTGACAAACAAAGGTTCGTTTTTTTTCCTCTCTCCTGTCTTATGCTGTACTTAAAAAAACACATATTTTCTAGGGTGCCCGAGTGGTTCAGTCAGTTACCGACTCTTGGTTTTGGCTCAGGTCATGATCTCAGGGTCCTGGGATCGAGCCCTGTGTGGGGCTTCATGCTCAGCTGCTCGGCGAGGAGTCTGCTTGTCCCTCTCCCTCCCCCCTCTGCTCCTCCCCCAGCTCCCGGGCCTCTCTCTCTTTCTCAAATAAATAAGTAAACCTTTAAAAAAAACACAACTTGGGGTAATTTTTTTAGTGAAAAATTATGACTTAAATTTTGATTTTCATCATACCTGAATGTGTTAATGTAGGCTTATTTGAAATTTAAAATTTTCCATTAACCTAGCTCATTCTGCTTCTTATTACCCATTTTTATTCTGTGTGGTACTTAAAAGAATCAACCTTAAAATTTTTTTCAAGTGATTCTGTTATTTTTCTCCTTACAAAATCTTCAAATACATTTTTACTTTAATCATTTTAAGGATCATGTTCTTCATTTCACTTGAGAGTACCCAGTTGAACAAAAAAGGCCAAATTACACTATTAGTTCTTTTGCCTATTTCACTATTAGGCTTGGAAACTTAACAATGAAAACAAGGTAAATATTCAGAAGATACATATTTGTAATGTAAGGTTTATTTTCTGCTCATTAAGTGGAAAGTCTACTGAAAGTATTCAAGTAACAATTTCTACATAAAAGTACTTCTGTAGAGTTCTTTATCAGCAGGGCTATAAGAAGGTATAATCATTATGTTAGGACAGTTACTAGCAAACTGTACTTTGTATGGGCCCCATTAAATCGTCCTTTTAAAATGAATGAGATTTAAAACTTAGACTGTTTTCTTTACTTAAAACTTGAGAACTTCTCTGTCTCTATTCATGCGTGTTCCTATAGCTAACAGTTGGGGGTTTTTAGCCGTATACTCTGGAGTATAGTGTCGTTACTGTTCAAGTATAGGAAACGTTAACTGAGTAGGAACATTGAAGGTTACATATGTCTTACAGTGTCCATAAAAGTATTTTTTTTAATTCCAATTTTTTTCTTTTTTTTGAGAGGGAGAGAAAGAGAGATAGAGGATGGGGAGAGGGAGAGAGAGAATCATAAGCAGGCTCCATGCCCAGTGTGGAGTCCAACACGGGGCTCGAACTGACAACCCAGAGATTAAGACCTGAGCAGAAATCAAGGGTCAGATGCATTTAACCGACTGAGCCACCCAGGTGCCCCAAAATTCCAATTAATTTTAAGTAATGTTTCCAGCTTTGCAGAATCCAAAGATACAAATTAATTTTAAAATGTTAAGCTATAATAAATGTCATTTTAAAATGCTTTTTGTGATACCAGTTTTGGGAGCCTGAACATAAAAACAACATATTCAGAAGAACTCGTCAGTTGTATAAAGTTAACTGATTTGTGCTCTTTTTAAATGATATGGAATAGACATAATGTACTTTACCTTCATCAGGGAAAATAAATAAATAAATAAATAATAAAATAACTCCATCAGGGATAAGAGCTATTTCCTCATAGAAGGCAAATAACTAGGACAGTAGTAAGAAATTTGAGTAAAATTGTGTCTATAAAATCTATATTGGTTATATTAAAAAATGAGCTTGGATCTGTTAATACTTACACATTTTCTATATTTTTCTTTTTGTTTTCAGCCCACTTCGATGTGTCATTCTTGTAGCGCTCAGGGACATCAAACAAGGAGAAGAGCTTTTCTCAAACTACTATACAATTGTCAGCTAACTATGAACTAGAAATTAGGTTTTCTGCTATTGAGTTCATTCTAAATGTTTTTTGTTCATCATATCTCTGAGTTCTACCTATACAACAAATATTTTGAGGCCTAATTGGAGTGGGAATTTTTTGTTTTTATTGATACTGTTTTTATGATAAAAGCTCTTTGCTTCATTACAATTTCAAATTGTCATACAATTCCGATCTTAATTGGCTTTCCCCTAAATATACAGTAGCTTATTAAATTAAAACCTACTGCCTGAACTTAAAATTTCAAATGTTCTTTTATTTTGTATATCTCTGTGGTGGTTTATAAAATTCCAGCCAAGCCATCATCATTTCTTGCACTGTTGATTTGTACAAACTTCTGTAAAAACTGTATTTTTATGTAATAAACTAAAGCAAAAAATATGTTGTGTTGTCATGAATTGTGTGTGTGTGTGTGTGTGTGATTTAAGGATTGTTTTAGCTAGGTAAGGGGGAATTGGAATTTACTCTTACTTGAACATTCACACACATACACAAAGTTTAAAAGAGTGAGAGAGATGGTTTTAGCATGGAAATAAAAGATAGTGGTGGTGGGAAAGACACGGATTCCCATTCTCTTATTTCAGTGGGGAGTGCTGACATTAGTGATGCTCCTGGCCTCTCTCTCCATCTGTTGGAGGAAGAGTGATTTCATGAGATTCTCTTTGGAGAAGAACTAGGCACCCATGGCCCAGACCCCTCTAGTTCCTTCTCTGTGGGCTGCCTGCCCAGCCAATGACAGTGAGTCTATGCAGAGGTGGAGTATTAGTGAGCTGACCTGGCCACAGCTCTGAAGCCACCTTTCCCAAAGAGTTTCACTCATAATACTTCCTTTGATCTCCATCAACCTGACTCCTGCATCTAATTCTCAGTTCCAAACTTGGATGGAGAGGAGGGTGTTATTTATTGGACTCCTCAAATCCTAATGTGGAACCTCTATAGCCAGATTTTAACCACCTAAACTGCTATATTAACAGCTTTTCTCACTTCATTTATTGCAATTTCAGTAGTCTCCTAATTGCCTTACCTGTTTCCACTCCTGCTGCCTTTACAGAATGGATCACCAAGAAGGGTTCTTGTAAATGTAACTCAGATCTTGACCCGCCTCTGCTCAAAACCCTCTTATTACTCCTCATACAGTGGAAGAAATGCCCAAGTGCTTCACATATATGATAGAGCCACTCACTACCTTTTTTTTTTAAGATGTTTTATTTATTTATTTGAGAGGAAGAGAACACAAGTGGGGTGAGGGTCAGAGGGAGAAGTAGACTCCCCACCGAGCAGGGAGCCCAATGCGGGATTCAATGCAGGACTCGATCCCGGGACTCCAGGATCATGACCTGATCCGAAGGCAGACGCTTAACAACTGAGCCACCCAGGCGCCCCACTCACTACCTCTCATCTCCTGCTTATTCTACCCCAGGCAAATCTGCCTCCTAACCACTCCTGGAACCTGCTGGGCACACTCGCAATTAAGGCTTCTGTTCTAGTTCTCTGTGCATGCTGAGGTCTTCCCCCAGAGAGTCACATGGTTCATTCCCTCCCTCTGTCACCTTGCCCAACCAGCCTACTGAAATTTACAATCCCCAACTGCCAGCCCTTAAAATTTCCATTACACTTTCCTTTTCCTCTATCAGATTTATCATGTATGGATAGTAAATGTACATTTGTGACAGAATCCAATTCCTTTTCTCAGCCTCACTTGTCCTTTATTTGTGTCACCAAGATCCTGGGAAAACAGGGAAACTAATCTTATTAAAAAAAAAAAAAGCCAATCTGCTTAACCACTTGACCAAGAAGATCCTGTTACCCAGAACCTTAAGTAAAATACAGAAATACCTACTCCTGTGGACGTATTTGATGGGCTAAGGTATTTAGGATTGAACTCTTGCAATGTAAATAAATTTAAAACTAGTTCAGGAAAAAAAAAATGTACGTTATATAGAAAAAGATCAAATATGATAAAATGTCAATTGCTCAATCTGGATTTTTCTTTATTCTGTTAACTTTTGTCTTAAAAAGTTTTTCTTTTAAAGCTAGGGGCAATGGGGATTAACATAAGAATAAAAACAAAAAAACAAAAAAATACAAAGGGTGACGCCTGTGCACCCACCCAGGATAGCATAGAAGGGGAGTTGGGAAAAGTGTGGTCATCTCCAGGATTGGGGGTTGGTACAAATGTGAATATTAGTTTAATTAATAATAAAAAATAGTTATTTTTTAAAAACAAAAAACAAAAAAATAAAGCTAGGGGCAAAGTCACCATTAGCTGAAGGGTAATTTATGTCTTCAAGCTTTTAGGGAATACCTACTATGTGAAGGGCCCTGGGAGAGTCAAAGAATAAAATATGTTCCTGCTCATAAAATGCTCGTGGTGGAATATAAAGCTTTCCTAGTATCATGATTTGGTCTGCACTGGAAGGGCGAAAAAATTTTTTTAATGTAACATAGATATTTTACAACAGAACCATCTTTCTTACTAGATTAACTGTTTAGATTTATAAATGGCTGATTTCATTTCTGACATCCTGAAATGCTTTTATGAGTTCTATACCAGAAAACAACTCCGTGAAGAAAGGCCTTACCTCTGTATAAACATCTCATCAAAACCGAGTTAACACAACAGCCTGTGTGTCTCTCGAAAATGAATGTAAACTAGTGTAGTAAACCTAGGAACACATGAGCACTCCTGATCTAGAACCACAAATTCCGTGCCCGTGCCCAGCTTTGTCAGAGAGTCTCCACAGACACACAGAGGAAAAGGATCAGAGAACACCTACCTGGATGGGAAATGGTAAACAGCGATACGTCCTAGGGATGAGGACATAGTGTATATAATGAAAAATCCAACCTACAGATTCTTTGAGAAATCAGAGAAGCAGCAAGCTCAAAGCCTATCATTGATGGCAATTATGGCCAACAAGGGTAAGGCCTACAAGTCACGAGAAGCTCTGCTCCCACAAGGCTCTCCTCCCTCCCCTAAAAGCCTCAAGTACTCCGCAGGTCTCACACGGTACGAGGCTGCTCTCTTGGCTAGAGCTAAAACGCTGGTGCTTGTCCCCACCTGAAGGCACTTCTGTGTATGTGTCCACCACAGAGGCCTGCACATTAAGGTTCTGTGGGGTCTGTGCATGAAGGAATGTAGTTTTAGACAAGTAACCAAAGCAGAGGAGTCAGAGTATTTGCTTTCATTTTATCCTCTTCGTGTCCTTGTATAAAATCTGGACCTTATATGCAATCTGATCACTGCATATTAAGAATGGACTAGATTCTCTCTCCCCCTTCTTCTGCCCCTCTCCCCCAATAAATAAATCTTACCAAAAAAAAAAAAAAGAATGGACTAGATAAAGCTCTGCTCAGAGCAAATGAAATATGGGGACAAACTTGTGAAACTAGGCTAAGATGAGATTGTCAGCTTCAAAAGATGAAGGTTTAAAGGTATTTCTAGAGTCTACTAAACTATGAATACTATGGAGAAGACTAGTTTACCATAAATATATTCTGTTAAATAATAACATCCGATCAAATTTCAGATAACATGTCTTCCTAAAAGACAAAGTTACCTAGAAGAGTGTTTAAACATAAAAGACATTGAATAAATATTTACTGAATTAAACTAAAAGTGTAACAAGCCTCACTTTGGGACAGCTGTTTTAGTACAGATGAAAATCTGTTGTAGAGGATTTAAAGAAAATTTATCTACCAACTTTGTCACTTACCTATCTTATTTACAACAGCAAAATCCAATTGAAAAGTGGTTAAGTATCTACCCATGTGTTATAGCTTAAGATTTATTTAATAAGTATCCAATTATGACAAATACTCACACGAACCAAGAAAAAAAAAGATTTCCAGATTTTTATTTCTGGAACTGTACACCAGGTATTAAAGTACAACAAATACAAAATAATGCTCAAAAAAATCAGTGTTTATGTACAAATATTAAAATCAATGCAACAATAGCAACTTCCTCTTGAACATCTGATACTAAAACTTGTTGTGATTGTCACTAATTAATCTCATACTCACAGGGTACTTATTTCAAACTGGGACAACTGGAATCACTGGTCATCTAAGAGGAATTTTAATATCTACCATATTTAACAATAAAACTAATAGTTTCCTCCTTTTAGTGAAAAAATTAAGAACTTTTTAAAAAACATAGTAATGTCAATATTTTTATAAATTATTTCAATTTCCATTTGTAGGCAATGTGCTTTGAAACTCTGGGCAAACAATCTCCTTGGTGGTCAGGTTTATTCATTAGTTTACATTCAAAGTTGAAATATTCACTAGAGACTTTGGTTAAATTAAATGGTATCACTATGCTCTATTAGATCTGATGTTCTCAAATATTTATGACCCTCAATTTTAAAATTAAAAAGGAAACAATTGCACAATTCTTTGACCTAATTGTACACACTTTAGTATTGTTTAAACAGTATTCTACATCCTTCAAGTAAATTCAGCAATTGACCATGACAAGAGGAAAACTAAACATTTAAAAAGCTAGCATGGAAAAGATGAAGTACGACTAACAAAAGTAAAGTATTGCTATAATCACAGCACCAGTTACACTTCTAAATGAATCCGCTGTCCTCTTCAAATTCCCTGTACATAAAAGATACATCAGCCAACAATGCAACAGCTCACCATGGATTTTTGGTTTGTTCATAAGAAAATAATGCGGCAAAAGAAAAAAAGAATTTATCACAGTTTGTTATAAGAATTGTGCTTAACACTTGATAATAAAGGCATTATTGTTTCTTCATGAAATTGCAAATCAGTAATTTTCATGCTCTCAAACGCAATTCTTCTAATAAACAGTAACAAATTCTCTGTTAAGATGCTTAACTGGAGGAAAAAAACAACCCAGTAAACCCAGCGTTCAAAAGAAAATTCAATAAATAGCTATTTTACATGGATAAAGTCATAGTGGTACAATTTATGAATGTCACATCAAACATGCACAAAAATGGTATTTATACATGGCAGAAGCAGTCAGAAAATATTGAATTAGATCTAAAAAGATATGAAGAATTTACATATATATACAAAAATCTTGCAAATTATTGCCTCATTTTAACAAGGAATTAAAAGTAAACGTTACCAGCTAGTTAGCACTCTCTAAGAGGCTAAAATCAGAATGACATTTAAAAATCTATTTAGCTGGAATTTATTTTTCTCTCATATCATTTTCTGGATTTTGGTCAAAAATCTTTATTTAAATAACTAAAGTGTCCATTCAACTTGCTGATAATCAAAACTTTAGATAAGAAACACTGTTTCCATCTTATATCAAGATCCCAGCAATGCATAGATAAACTGAATATGTTACTGCATCAGCTACTGAGAATGGGCATGTTCATTTAAGTGCAACTGGT